AATATTAGTTACAGGTCTATAATTAGATAAAGAGGTAGGATCTAGGGATGTGTTTTTAAGAATAGGAATAACAATAGAATTCTTATAAGAAGTAGGAAATTTAGAGGTGGAAAGAGATAAATTAACTAATTTGAGAATGATTGGATAAAATATTGAAGAGAATTCTTTAAGTAAATTGGAAGGAAGTAGATCTAGAGAACAGGTTGTAGACGACATAGAATTAATAATTTTAGTTAGTTCTAAAAGATTTATTGGAGTAAATACAGAGAAAGATTCAGTAGTAAGTTTAGTAAAGTTATGAGAAGGAAAATTAGAATTAGATGTTCTTAAAGAAGTAATTTTATTTACAAAAAAGTCATGAAACTGTTGAGCAGAGAAAGATGAGTGAGAAGATTTTTTATGTAGAAGTTTAGATAGAACAGACCACCTATTTTTAGATGTTGAAGCAGATGTTATAGAATTTCTAAGAAAAGTAGAGTGTTTAGAGAATAGTAGATATTTATAATTAATCAATTCAGATTCATAGATAGAATAAAGAGAGTTAGATGGATTTAACCTATAGGCTTTCTCCAGTCTTCTAAGACTTTTCTTGGCTACTACACAAGCATAATCAAACCAAGGAGCCTTACGAGAATAGAGCCTATAAGTAAAAGATTTAAGAGGAATAAGCTTATCAAGAATAGAAGTAATGTAGATATTAAAAGCACAGACAAAATCATCAACATCAGAAAATAAGGTAGTATCAAAAATAGGTTCAGTAAGAGATTGAAGAAAAATATCAAAGTTTCCAAATAAAATTTTACACATTCTACTGTTTACCAGTTTTTATTACAATTTTCATTACCATTATTACAACTGAAATTATACAATATAGGCTTTAACAAAAAATCTTAATGTTACAGATAAAGATGTAAATTGTAATTTTGATAAAAGCGCACCTTGACGTTGAATGATAATTCCGAAGGAATAATCGCCTACTATTAATAAGGAGTTTGTTGATTAATAATAAAATGACGTCATTTCCGTCAACTATACCACAACACATACACACTACACTATCTGCCATTGTATTGTTTGTTTCATGATTTTTCTTTTCTTTTTTTTTCTCTTTTTTACTTCGTAATTGTAAAATTTGGTACGGTAATTCGAACGTATTGAGCATGTGTAAGTGAGTTAATTTGGTGGACATAGATAGGGTAGGGGCACGATTCTCTCGTTCTAATTTTGTATGTGTTTTTTTTTACTTTACCTTGTTCATGTTTATATACAAACGTACAGACAAACATACACAAACGAACAAAAACAAACAAACAACTGAAAAATTTAATTAACATAAGTAGCTGTAGTTACACAAACGTTAACGAAACATTTAAACAGAAAACAGCCTGCATCAATAATTGAATGGTACTCATCTCGAGAATTTCTTTTCAGGCACAAGTTTTCATATTTTTTTATTTATTTGTATTCTACAAAATATTCTGGAAATTTAAAAAAAAATAATTTGGTCGGCTCCGTTAAAAACAATTCATTGGAGTTAAATTTTAAAACTGTTTATATGCTCAATGAAATGAGTATTGAATCAATTAAATTGTAATAAGGATGAATGCATTCACCTTTTTTCTCAAGATTCTCGACGCAAAAATGTTTTCGTAATAAAAATTGCAACAAAAGTCTTCAATACATCATCTTTATTAATTTTTTTTTGGAAAATTTATGTTGTGGAAACGTTAACATCGCGTTGTTAAAAAATTCTAACACGTCTAATTAAAATATGGAACTGAAATAACGATGAAAAAAATGAAAATTTCACCGCGCCAAAAGATTTGACACAATCGTCGAAATTGACAAAAATTTTCTTCAAGTAGTGAATGTCACAATGTCACACATGCCACATTATAATGTTCTTTTACGAAACTACAGTTGGACAATTACAATGAATTTGTCAATGGAATGTAAAATTTAGGCATTTCGTAACATGTCAGTTGAGTTCATCAAGATAATAAAAATAAAATTTATAATATCATTAATTATTACAAATATTATATGCTCGCTTTTCAATGAAACTAAGGAAGAATTATTATTTTCAATTTACAGATTTTAAGTTGAGCTATCGAGACTCGAAAAATTTGTTTTCAAATTTTTTGGATTAATTAAAACTGAAATAAATGCTATCTACAAACATATAATTTTTTTTACTTATTCGGTGAAATACAATTTTTAGAACGAGTTCAACATTCAATCATCACGTTGATACTTAGAACGAGTTCAGCATTCATTCATTATTCCATTACTCTAAAGTTTATATAATATTGTCTGAAGATGTTTAAAAGTAGAATAGAGTAGCGATGAAGTGCATGTATGGGCACGTGTTTATCTACGTGTACTGAAACGAATAGTTTACGTCATGTTTATTTTTTCACTGTTTACCAAAATAATTATAATGAAGTCTATGGGTCTGTAAGTTGAAGAAGATTTTTGCAACCTAGCATCACTAACTAAAGTATTTGTTAACAATTAAATACATTTGAAAGTCAGCCAAATGAACTTCTCACAACTTATAAAACGGCCTCCAATTGATATGAGCTATTACAATGTTGATGCTAAAAATAGTTTGCTGCGACTGATACAAATATCGCTCATTTCAGTAGAAAAAATAATTTCCATAATTAGATACTAAATGCAACTACTGTGTAAATCATTGTTATAAATCTATCGACAACATTAAATTTTTTAATTAGACTACGGCGAAAAAGGTATGACATACAAATTATTTCATTTGCTAGCATTGGTGAGCGTTTCATTCTGAGACACGCCCCACCGTTCAGTGCCACACGTAGCAGGCGAGCATAGCGCGGTCACCTGCCGGCACTAACTCTCTTTTGCATGGCTAATTATCTCAACACACACACGCTTCAACGAATGAAAAATATTATTTAATTGTGTTTGTTGCGTATCTAAGTTTATGTACAAGTCAACAATGATGTAAATACGTATAAAGGAAATGGTTTGTTAATAACTAATTTTATGTGAACAAATGACTGGTACAAATTGTTGGAACTATGTAATAAAATTAAATTTCTTTTTCAATGTTATTCTCGTCGTCAGCAACTGCAACAGCAACAACATTATTCTCGACAGCACCTTCCAATGCTGGCTCAGAATTCAGCGCTCCAACAACTTCCACTTTTTCATTTTTCTCTAACAACTTTTCTTGATCCTTCAGCAAAGTTTCAGTCGATCCGGCCATAACATTTTTATTCCCATTATTTTCATTGCTAACATTGTTAGCGTTGTTCAGATCGTTCAGATCGTTCATTTGCATGGCATCGTTCTTCTTGCCATCTCCCATCTGCAGGACGGTTCGTTCTGCTTGCTTCTCCGATTGCTTCTTTTTACTTTGCTGCGGCCGAATCACTTCATGCTGCGGACAGCAATTGCCAAAAAATCGCATGAAACTTTTTCTGAACTGTTCTGATAAGAACGCATAGAGAACAGGATTAACGCAACTATTCAAGTAAGCCAAGCACTGAAAGGCTATTTTGATGCTGACGATGGGCAGCTCTTCGTCCTCATCATTCTTCTGCTGTCTGGAAAATGACTGGACGAGGAAGATGACGTGCACCGGCAGCCAGCAGAGTGCAAAAACTGAGACCACCACCACAACCAAACGTGTTACCTGGATCAGTATTTTTATTTTATCATGTTAACATTGTATCATATTGAAACAATGTTTCATTTATGTACGAGGAGAGATGGAAATTCATAAGAATTAAAAAATTAAGAAAAGTTGAATTAAAATTTGTTTGATTCATTTCAGCTTGCAACATTAACTACGACGAACTTATTTCAATAAATTCAATCGGCAATAGCAAATTTAAAGTTGTTTATCTGCATTTAAGCATGAAAGCGAAATTGGGTAGAAAATTTCAAAACACTAGTCAAAAAACACGAATCAATTAAATTACAAAAGAGAGAAATACAAAAACATCATCAGAAATAACAATAAGTTTAAAAACTATAATAAATTAAACTTACAACCGTAGACTTTAAACTTGCAACCAAATATCAATTAACAAATCGATAAAATAATTAATTTTTTAAACCCAGTTTTTAAAAATTAAATTCGACCCAATCAATAAACTGTCAACTAAAAACCAGTCACATCCAACCAGCCAACAATCAATCACATTCAACTAACCAACAACCAATCTCATCCAACCAAACAACAACCAATCGCATCTAACCGACCAACAACCAATCACATCCAACCAACAGGCAATCACTTACAACCAACTAACAACCAATCACGTTCAACCAATAAGCAACCAAGCGCAAACCCTTTTTTTAGAATCGTTGTTACTCTTCCGGATTCTTCCCGACTTTGCATTTCCGCCGTGCACCAGCCTTCGGAGCATCAGTCCGTAGAGCAAGCAGACCAATCCAAGTGGGATGGCATATCCGAGAATGAAGAAACACAAATGAAATGTCTTTGCGTAGTCCAGGTCTAATCTCATCCGAGTGTCCAAACACCTAGCGTCATTCAGTGAGTGAGTGTGGGAGTGAGTGAGTGAGTGAGTGAGTGAGTAAGTGAGTGAGTGAGTGAGTGAGTGAGTGAGTGAGTGAGTGAGTGAGTGAGTGAGTGAGTGAGTGAGTGAGTGAGTGAGTGAGTGAGTGAGTGAGTGAGTGAGTGAGTGAGTGAGTGAGTGAGTGAGTGAGTGAGTGAGTGAGTGAGTGAGTGAGTGAGTGAGTGAGTCAGTGAGTCAGTGAGTGAGTGAGTGAGTGAGTGAGTCAGTGAGTCAGTGAGTCAGTGAGTCAGTGAGTCAGTGAGTCAGTGAGTCAGTGAGTCAGTGAGTGAGAGAGCGAGTGAGTGAGCGAGCAAATAAGTGAATGGATGAATGAAGTGCGATTGAATTGTGTGTGTTAGTGTAATGGAATTGAATAGAAAGACAAGTTTGAATTGGACGAGTGCATAGGAATGAATTGTTTGCGCAGTTCTGATTGATAGTGTGCTTGATTGAATTTTCAATGAAATAAATGTTCTACTGTATTTTTGTTGCAGATTTTGTTGTCATCATTGTTCATGTTGCCAACTATAATAACACTACATAACTCTGAAATTAAATTGAATTATTGGCACGTGTTTCTATATCACATTTTATGTCAATCAGTGTCTTGTATTCAATGGAATACTAGATTAAACTTTTAATTGTAATGAAAATATAAGGAATAAGATTTTCAAATAAGAATTTGTATTGAAAAATAATATTTAAATAAAATAAAATAATTGAAATCTAAAATTAAGTCATGAGAAAAGTGTAAGAAAACAAACATCAGCGAGGAGAAATTGACAACGGAAAAGTTTTCGACGACGGGAAGAAGTGAGGCCATGATGATCCCAGTGAGTAACCAGATGGCGATCAGTGTGTTCCTCTGCGTTCTGATGTGAATGGATTGGATGGGGTAGCAGACGGCCAGGAACCTATCTAGAGACATGAGGACCAGCGTATAAACTGAAGTGATGGCTGTCACCAGGATCATGTACTGGTAGATCTGCGTGTCATGTTTCGAAACGTTTATTACGATGCAAATGGAAGTTCGCAAGCGGTTGATGAAATATCAACGGTTCAAATTTTAAACGTTAGAGCAGAAAATCTGATTAACAAATAGAGAGTAGTTAAACGCTTAGAGTTTCAAGCTAAATGTCTGATTGATGTTCAATTTTTTAGATTTTTTTTGCATGCCATTAAGCATTCTTTTTTATATTGTTTGTTTTTTGTATGCTGTTTTTTATATGTTGTTTGTTAAATTTTTTAAGTGTTTTTGTTGATATTGTTTGCCATCAGGCATCGTAGGATGATTTTTTGTTGTTTACTATGAAGTTTTTTTGCACTATTGTGTTGGACCATGTGCCATAAATTGACATAAATGAAATCGAACTGAAGCAGCATCTCCATTTAAGTTTCCTTATTTACATCTGATCATCGAATCGCTCTTAGTGTTCTACAGCCCATACAAATGAAGTTGTCATATCATGAGAATAAAAAACATTTAAAAATGTTCTGTTATTATCCTATTGTTGTTCTATTGTTGTTGTTCTGTTGTTGTTCTGTTGTTGTTGTTCTCTGGCTGTTTACGTTTTAATAATTTTTTTCATGGTAATATTAAATTCAAGTGCAAGTTAGAATAGCCAACGTTTGGTTTAAAAAAAAAATCAACATCTTAAAAGTAAAAATAAATGAAAACTTCCACAACAAACAGCAACTACTTCAGCAACATCAACAATGACACATGAATAACATTAACAAAAACATCGGCACGCCAACTCAGAAGAACACATCAACAATGCGGAATAAACACATAGCAGCAATCATTGCAAACATCTTTAGAACGTGCGAGTATGGCTTAAAAATTATTCATCTGATTTATGCACCCAAAATTACAACAAGGACTAAAAAACAAAAAACATAGAATTTTTAAACAGCACGGAAATTAATTTTTAAATTTACTTTTCAAATATGTTTATTACAAGTTTTTTTGATAAATGTTAACATTTCACTGCACTCCTCCATTGTCTGGAAGGAAAGATGAATCTGGAAAATAATCTTCAGCAGTTACTTGTCAAGATGAATTTCGTTTTTTTAAACTGATGTCTTAATTTTCGAGTGAAAACATTTTTTTAAAGTTTTAAAAAAAAACCGTCAAAAAATATTTTTTTTCGCAAGATGTTAAAAGTGCAAATATTGAAATAGACTTTTGGCGGCTTGGCGTTGCACGGCATCCATGCACCCATCCTTCGATACGTTCGAAACCATTCATCCAGTCTTTAAATCTTGTTCTACTCTCTGTAGAAATTATTTCATCAGCACTATTTTTATCAAGGTATGTTCTGAAATGTTTGAATTTTTATGTTCATAGGCAAAACATCTATTTAGCTTGTATGACTTGAAGTATGGAATTTGAAAAACTAAAGAAAAATACTTTCGAAAAGAGTAAGAAGGATTATTCATTCATCCATCCATCCATTCATCCATTCATCCATCCATCCATCCATCCATCCATCCATCCATCCATCCATCCATCCATCCATCCATCCATCCATCCATCCATCCATCCATCCATCCATCCATCCATCCATCCATCCATCCATCCATCCATCCATCCATCCATTCATCCATTCATCCATCCTTCCATCCATCCATCCATCCATTCATCCATCCATCCATTCATTCATTCATTCATTCATTCATTCATTCATTCATTCATTTAAGCGCTTACTACATGTTGACTTTTTTCGTTTATTTTGTTCATTCATTCAATCATTTGCCTATTTGTTTTGTCACTTTTTCGTTTGAGTTTTTGTTCATTCATGCGTCTTTTTTTAAACTCAGTTTTCTATTCGTGCATTCGTTCATTCATTCAAACACTCAAACATTCATTCATTCATTCATTCATTCATTTCATTCATTCTTCTACCCATTCATTTTTAGTGCTCGTTCCCCATATTCTCAAAGTTTTCTCATTACATCGTGTTTAAAATAATTGATAATAATAAAAATATAATATTAGTAATAGTTAAAAAAGTAATGATCAAGCAAAAACAACAACAAAACAAAATAAGAAAAGCAAGTTAACAAAAATTGTTCGAGTTCCAATTTAAAAAATAAAAATTTTCTAAACAGTAAATTGCCTAAATAAATTTCAATTAGCACGCTCAATTGCAAATGCATAAATAAATAAATTAATAAAAAAATGATTGAAATAAATTTTGTTCTTTAGATTGCGTTTTAACTCTAACACATAATGCGAATTTCTGAGAAAACGACGTTGATTGCATGAAATGAATTATTGACTTGTTTCTCATTCGCTAATTATTTCTTCATCAGCATACTGTCCTTCATTGAACAACCTTCATTGGACAGTCTTCTTTATCAATCACTGCATCTACCATCCATCTGTAACAACAATTGCCATTAATCAGAGATTCACTATGCCTACTACACTAGAACTGAAATTCTTCTTTATACATATTTTCTAGAACATCTCTATAGATTTTTTCAGGCTATGCACCGGCACCCACGCTATTTTATGCCACCACACGTCTCGCACGAGAATGATTAAAGTTCACATCTAGACGCACACACAAACACACACAAACACCACACACATGCAAGCACACTAACACAAATACACATACACGCACCTTACACACAGATACGCCACATATACACACACATACACGCACACTAGCACATACACACACACTAGCACATACACACACACACACACACGTACACACACGCAAAGATCTTGCAGTGGATTGAAATGCGTGCGTATTGGAGTAGAGAAAGATGGGAAAAAAAGATTGGCTGAGAAATAATTAGTATAGCATTTACATTAAAAAGGAACATGTGTGCAAATAAGGAACGGAGTTTTGTGGAGATTTAATTCTGCAAATACTCACTCAACCGAAATAATATCTCATAACGTCTCTCTACAAAAAGTGGCGTTAGAGGATATAATCTGCAGAAGAAAATTTGAAAATTTAATTAAATTATTTCATCAACATGAAAATTCTTTTACGATTTATTACATTCAAACGAATAATTTTGTTATTTTTATAATTTATTAATTTTTTTTAAATTAGTTAAATAAAATAATTAATCCAAAAATAATCAAAATGAAATAAAAAACTACAAACAGCAAAATCACTTCTGGTTAATAAACTTAAAATGATATCAAGTCATTGATGAGCTTTTATATGAAGGAAAAAAATTCTATATGATTTTCACGTCCATCTACCACCGATACACGAGACGTTCGTACGTTGTTTGCGGAAGAAAAATTACGGTAGTGTTCTGGAGGTAAAAAGAAACAAAAATTTGTCTGCATGATGAGAGAAGAAAATAAGGAAGATGATCGGGTTGGCGTGCACGAACACGTCCGCCTGTCTATCTCTCAGTCTTTGTTGTCTGTCTATCTTACGATCTGTCTGTCTGTTTGTCTGTTCGTCTGACTGACTCTTTACATGCTCGCAAACATTCCGCCCGGTTGCTGTGCTCTTTAAGTGCTGGAAACGTTGGACGAAATGAATAATTTTTTGAGCAATCATTTTTTTTCTTACTTCAGTTGGAAAAATGTTTACTAAAAAATTGTTTGGCCAACGCTTTCATTGTTTTAATCAAATACTCAATTATTTACATTACATGAAAAAACAGCTCGTTTTGTGTTGCTAACAATAAGGTTGAACGTTTAAATATAAAATTAATTAAAAGCATGCAAATGAACGAACCAATCAACCAGCCAAAACACCAAGCAAACAATCAGCCTTAAACCAACCTGACACCAAACCCTTCCAAACGGCCATGGAATGGCATAGGACACAGCAGTGAATGGAACACAGAACACGATGAACAGCAAATCAGCGATGGCCAGATGAATAATCAACAAATTTGTTGTGTGACGCATTTGTCGGTTTGCTATAACCGACACAATCACCATTAAATTACCGACAAATCCAACAATGGAAATGAACCCGAATAAAACTGGTACGATGATTGAGACCCAGTAGTGAAAATTTTCAAAATCTACGTTGTCGTCTGTCTCGATGTTGGTGCTGTTGATGGTGGTGCAATTAATGTATGATGCGTTGAGGATCAGCTCATTGTCATTGTAGTTGAGGCTGATATTTTTACTGTTATTGTGGTAGTAGTCGTTCTTGAAAGCAACAAACAGATTGTTGTCATTGTTGTCGTTGTTTAGGTTGTGTTAATATTGTTTTTGACATTGTTGTGAACGTTGTAACGATGGGTTATGTCATCTTGGTGTGTAGCATCATTTTTATTTCTGCTGAAGTTTTCAACAGGATCGTAGCTAGGCCTTGCGAGTGTTGTCGTTAACATTGTTATGATTGTTTCTGTCAATGTCATCATCTCGGTGGTTCATTTGGATGTTGTAATCGGAAATGTAGTTGAAGCTGAACATGTTGTTGTCGTCGTCAAGAAAACTCCGATGGTTACGAGACATCAGATTTATTGGACCTACGTGTTTAATTTGCGCTTTCAAATATCTGAATGAGAAAAGAAGAGTAAAGAGTTGAAAATTGAAAAAACAGTTTTTGCATATTCAATAAAAATGTTATAAATTTTGTTAAAATTTAAAAATTAGTCCGAACATTTTTGAGATGCTTAAATTTTAATTACAAAAATGGCACTCCTCAGATTTAGGAATGTAAAGAAATGCTCCTTCGCCTGGCATGAATGTTGTTAAGTAGACCCTACCAACAAAAATATTTCTTCCGCTAATAATTTTTCACTCTGCCACTTCAAATAGCGATGCAGCTAATTATTCATAATTATTCAGCAAAAACTCAGCGGCATAAATTTATTTAGATTTCTCAAGAGATCGTGGTAGTGGATATCATGAAAAATAAGATGCTATCTTCGTTTTTATATTTGGTGATGTGAATAAATTTCAAGCATCAATTGACTTGTTGGAAGCACGCGATAAGATTGATCATTTGGAATGCATAGCATAGCATCGACTCCTACATTATCAGATGTAGCGGTGCATGGGGATCTAACAAAATGCAACGGAGTGCAGAATCTCGTGACATGCAGATTTTTTATAAATTCATTTCAATAAAACAACTTTGAGATTTGTCTGAAGATAGTAAAACTCTGCAAAATAGTTGAAACATCGAAATTGCATTTATATATTTTTTTGTTTTGAAAAATGAAAAATTATTTTAATAACCAAAATAAATGGAAATAGAAAAACAAACTTTCACGCATTGTATAAAATATCAGGCATATCTTTATTGGCTATCGCTTCCAGTTTAATGCAATGTTATTTTGATAAAACATGCCATGGTATAATTGTTTGTTATGAAGCGGTACCTTGCTGTTTTGTTGCAGTTCAGTTGGTCATCAACAGAAAGTTCTACGACAAAATAAAAAAAAATGCAACAACAGCTACAACACAACCACATCCACAAACAGTATCACCGTCACAACGCGTTTAAATCTTCCAATTCATCCTCATATCATTTCACAAATGCTTCATAATAACTGGGGATCTAAAGACAAGAATCCATCATTTTATAATGATTCATAATACATTCATCAATAACTTTAATCTCATTTTATTTGAAGCTATTTAGCTTGGTTATAGGTTTGGAATACTAAATTTTAAAAATCCATTTTTAACGAAACAGCACACAAACACCCAAACAGGATTAAAAAATTTATTTTCTAATCTAATGCTAAATTTTCAGTGTTGATGTCAATCTGATTAGAATAGGAACTAAGTAGCAACACGCCAGGCATTATGTTATAGAGAGAGACACGAAAGGAAAAAAAAAATTAGAACTGCTGAAATGAAGTGATGATAGGCTGGTAGAGTATCTAGCATTGTATCAGCTACAGTATCTAGTTTCTATGCGATGATACTTCATTCAGTATATGTTTTATGTTGAAGAGTTTCTTTTTGATACATTTGAATTAGCAAATTAAAGTAATTTTTCACGATGATTTTCTGCCGACTAGTAAAAAAAATATTCATTTGAATAATGAATTTTATCATTGTAAAATAAATCAATCATCGTTGAAAGTCTCGACTGCCGTAAAACTAGTGAAAGTAGAGAGATGTGGCGATGTTGTTGGCGTGATCCAAATCTTTAAGAAAACATTGTTACAAAATGGCAAATTTTGTGTTAGATAACTAAAACATTGGATGGAGCAAATGTTCTGATAAAATGCCAAACTAATAACAAATATAAATAATTCCCAAAAAAACCTTACGCTGACAAAAATAAAAAAGCTAAAAATATAAAATAATCAATGATAGAAAGTTTAGCTTTACGAGGGCCAATGTCGATATAATATTACAATATGATTCGGCGAAAAAACGGCGTTGTTTTTGACTATAAAAAGAATAACATTTGCAGAGATAGACATTATTAATAATGATGAAAATTGTGATTGATGTCTAAGTGAGTGTGAGATACTATAGATATCATCGTGCATATCTAAACAAAAATATTAATAAAACAACCAATAGTGGGAAAAAATAATAATAATACACCATACATCCATGCTTTTAAGATAATTAATGTGAAGGACGGTGGCGGCGCATACGTCGTTTGCAGCTCCAGCAGCTGCTGATACAAACGAACACGTGACCAAGCATTCGAACATCTCTTTTCAAATGAGACGAGATGAAGCCGTCTCTATGTTTACACAAGCCAATACGTACGTACGTATGTGAGCGCGCGCGTACAGATATCTGTATACACTCTCACACACACACACACAGACACACAGACACACACACACACACACATATATATATATATATATTTCTAACCAAACTTTCAACTATATATACATATATAGTAATTTATGAAATCTACCGAATTTCTAACTAATTTTCTAATTTATTCTCTGTATATTTTTCTAAAGTTAATAAAATAGATAATGACGACAGGAATTTTGTTAGAAATGTTGAGAAATGTAATAAAATAACTATCCAACGCTAGAAATTCGGTAGATTTCATAAATTACTGCATTAATTATGGTTTTTTACCGGCATATATATATATATATATATATATATATATATATATATATATATATATATATATATATATGTATATATGTGTATATGTATAAATGTATATAGGTATATATATATATATACATATATAAACAATATTTGTTTGCAAATATCTAGATGCAATTTAAAGGCAATTTCCACAACTCAGTTACGCAACGTTAAATAGCCCTCAAGTGTTCACACCGTGTCACCGTGTGCAGTTGAAGTCATTTTGTCTTTGCTTCATTATTTATAAGATATTAACGTTATCGCTTGACGAAATAGTTTTCAGTGGCTGGGAGCTCGGATTCAAATTTACATTGGGCGAAAAATATTTTCCTCACGTATTTTATCCTGGTTTTCATTTTTCAAACGTTGTCGAATTGCAAGATAATTGATTGCAGAGAATGTTTCCTCGAACACTACCTGGTAAAAACATTTGTCAATCATTTGATGACAGCTTCATTTCGCACTCATAGGAAATTGCACGAGTTTTGTTTATTTGAAGTAATTTTATTTTTTTACTTCAAGTCTGTTTTGGCTCTCATTAATTTGGTTTTTCAACTTTTCTTCGGTTATCTTAAAAAATTGAAAGCAAGGATTGATTGATAAAATGGTTTATGAATGAACGAATTACTCACCAAATACATCTTCAAACTCATATATTCATGCAATTTCATAACAACATATAATAGCGCAATTATTGCTTTGTATTAAAGGAGCGATTCCATCTCAGTTTGTTTTTCATTTGAACCAATTTTGATTGTAAAACCCAAGTTTAAAATACACGCTGAGAACATTGATGTAAATACATCAAATATATATTATAAAAACAACAGTCCTTTCAGATTCAGCAGTCATCAATCCATGACGATGTCTCAGAAAACTACAACAACACCCTAATAACAACAGGAACTAAGTAGAAATCCAAACAGAAAATAAAACTAAAAAACTGACAAATGCTGCAGCTAAAACGCCACCAACAGTAGAAACAACAACATTGTTAAAAACGTTCAGATCTCCTTTTCCAGCAACATTGGCACGCGCTACATCGATTGCATCAATAACCTGCCAACCAACCAATCGACCGACCGACCGACCGACCAGCCAACCAACAAACCAACCAATCGACTAACCATTCAACCGAACAACCAACTAACAAACCATTCGACCGACCGACCAACCAACCAACCCTACTTTCGCATCAATCGCGATTCCTCCTGCACTCATTTGTATTATTTTTCAGCATCTTTTCAGCATTTTTTACCAACCACACATAATTTCGTGTCCAGTCGAACCATCAACAATCTTTTCAATTATTAAATTATAAATCTTTCAAATGTTTTGTTCGTCAAGCAACACATGTTAAATCATTCATGTCAATTTAAACGTGAAAACAACGAAATTCAGTTGAAAAAGCTATTTCAATTAACAGAGTTTATCAAAATTAATATTTAATAAATCAATTTCAATGCTAATTGAAATATAACAAGGAGGTTTTTAATGAGATTGATGGCAATAACAATCACCTAGCATTAACTATAAATTCTGTTGCACTAACTGTAAAAATCAACGATTAACTCTGTTATCTTAATTATTAACATTAACTATTAACCATTACATTGCCCATCAACATTAACTCAATTACGTTCAAATGTTCGTACGACTGAACAGGCAAGAAAGAATGAAAAATGAAAGTAGCATACATTGCCACGTTCTCCTACAAGATGTCCAATAAAAATTCAGAATAGTGTCTTTATTGTCGGTCGGTTGATTCCTTTTTTCAAGCCATCAATATCTGCCGTATAAATGTTTTTGTTGGGGCCATCAACTTTTCCGTTCTGAATCAAAAAGTTGTGGTTATTGCTAACAAAGGGTTCTATAAAATGTTTTTAATTTTGAGATATTCAATATTTTGGGGCACATTTCCATATTTTTTTTTCAAGATAATGCCCATCACAAATTTTTACAATGTTCTTAAAATGGTCATTATTTTTATAAAAAAA